AATAATAGGTCTGGCCGAATCAAGGGATTAACTTTTTTCCCTAATTCGAACCAGCCTTTCTCTCTTTTCTCTCTTCTCTCTTTTCTTCTTTCCTCTCCTACTTCTTGCTGTCTACTTTMCTCTACAGTCAACGAACAAGACAGAATTCTATGGCAGGTCAAACTTCAACAGTCACAAATCAATAGATGAAACCCAACCATTTTCACCATCAACAGTTTAGATGTCACACCAAAAATAAATGGTGAAACAAAAGTCACAAATCATAAACATATAACTGATTAGCCACTTGAACTTTTTCAATTCATTTCTGTATACCCACAATGTTTCCCTTTTGTTTTGTAACCACCCCACAACCATTTTTGAATCTTCTGCTATGATCAGCTTGTTAATATTAAACCCTTTTGCCTTTTGAACTCCAAACATTGTAGCCATGGTTTCTGTTCTTAGAGAATCCCCTACTCCAATTGCCCTGAATACAAAGCTATCACAACACCTCCTTCATGCCTAAATTCTTCCCCCATCTCCTGAAAGCCCTGAATTTCTGATGCTACCCCCATTGAAATTTAATTTAATATAACCTTCTCCTTGAGGTGACCAAAATTTTGGGATTGTTTCATTCTTGCTTAATGATCCCCCCACTACCCTCCATTTCCTATAGATGTTATCAATGAAAAATGGTGACAAGAGGTTGAGCATTTTGATCCAGTGTGTTATCCTAACTGTAACATACTAGATTACTGATTCTCTTGTTCTCTCTTTTCATCAAAAACACTTGTGTTTCCTTCTTCCCAAATTGTCAAACTATTGCTGCCTTTGTTGTTCTCCACATTAACTTTCCTCTCTATCTGAAAGTTGAGGAAGCAAATATACTAATCATGGTGGTTGGACCATCCCACCTGCACCCAAACAAACCAGTGTTTTAAAGTGCAAGGGGCAATTTGCGCCCAAGGCACAAGACGCAAGGCAAGGCACACGCCTTTTTGAAGGGGCAAAAATACAAAATTTTCCAAAAAAAATGTCAGAATATTCAAAAAATGCCAAAAAAATTAAAAAAAAAACAAAAAACAAAAAATATTAAGCATAATATTAATAAAAATATAAACTTAAATTTTAAATAAATGTTTTAAAAAATCTATTATCCAAAATTAAAATACATAAACATAACATGTAAAGAATATTGAAATGAAAATTTAAAAATAAAATCAAACATATAAAACATTTACAAGCATTTAAAACCCACAATCTCATTTTTTTCCTCAATTGCATTACTGCAAGTAGATAATGTGATGTAAAACATATTGCATTCCTAATTCTACAAGCTGCCTTTGTACCACACGTCCACACCTCTCAAGGCAAGCCCAAACAAGTCTATGTTAGGGTCTTAAATTCTTAATACAAAAAGTAATGATTTTATAATTTTAATTGCCTTTTAAGAAGATATTTTATTAGGATGAATGAATGAACAACATTAGAAAATAGGGGGTGGACGGGGGTCCAGGGGTGAAGCCCCCGGCCTAGCCGCTAGGTTCAGAAAAAAGCAAAAAAGCATAAAAATTTAAAAAGGTGCATACCTGGGCCAAGGGCGCGTGCAAGGCACATCAGACGCACCAGGCATGCACCTTTCGAAAATGATGTGCCTAGGAGGAACATAACCTAAAATGCGCTTCGCCCATGCACCTAGGCACGCCTTAGGCACACCTTTTAAGTCACTGAAACAAACCAAACGGCAGTAACAAATGAACAGGAGATTAGTAAATGGGAAAAAGTCTCATTACAATTCTTGCAAACGGCACACAAGTTTGGGGACAAACACCAAAAAGGCATCTGTTTTTGAGATTGAAAACCATCCAATAAAAAAGCACTGCCTTGGAAGGAATTGAGTGACACCAAAATTCTTTAACAGGAGAAAAAGTTGCAAGGAGGAGAGCCCAACACCCTAAAGGGGTGAAAGACCAACCCTACTATCTGAGCCGGAAGGGTCCAAAAACACATTGTCCAACAACTGCAAAAATCAGTAATAGATTGAAGTTCCAAGTCACAAATACCCCACCTAAAACCCAAATCATAATTGAACCCATTCCCAGACTGAGAAGGAAGCACAAACTTAGAGACTGCCTCCTCCTTTAAAGAAGGCAACTGAAAGCAAATGAGAAACTAGTCTTTCGACGGATAATCCCCCAACCATATGTCCTCCCAAAATCTCACAGAGTTACCAACACAAACAACATATCTTATGCCACTAAGGAAATGTGGAAGGATTTTAAAGATGGCCTTCCAAGGAGAAGCTCTAGTGACCCTGGAGAATAAGCCAACATCCCAACAATTTTCCATGGGCCTATAAATGCTAGTCACCACTAACCACTTTATGCCACAATTTTTCTTTTCCAATAGGCAAACTTCACAGCCATAACTCCAATAAGGCTACATTCTTCTCATCTATCTTCCAAATTCCTAGCCCCCCTTGGTCCTTTCTTCTACACACCACTTCCCATTTCACTAAGTGGTCTGTTTTTCTCTTCTTTGCCACTGCTTGAGAAATTCAAAAAAAAAAAAAAACGAGAGATAATAAATGAGAAGGATGGATGAGCAAAGCCAATTTGATTAATGTAATTCTATCCCCAGAGATAGGTAATTCTTTTTTCACATAGACGACTTTCTCTGTAAATCTAGATGTTAATCAATGTGTAATAATGAGCCAATCATCAGGAAACATGATTGGATGAGAGTCAGTATAGTAGGGTGGTTTTACATTGAAAATAAACATTTTATGTAGCAATGCCAATACCAAACCAAATACTGCTCAAAACATTTTCTCAACACCTTGTCTACCAGCAAAACAAGTTTCATGCCAAAACACCTTCCAAAACACCTTTGTTGGTGTCTTGACATGAAATGTCATTGCCTCTCTAAGAGTTTGATCCTAAAATAGCAATGGTGCCAAAACAACCATAGCCTCCAATATGAACAGCTCCATCAAATGGATCAGAAGATCAGGTAGTGAATAGCATGACAAGGGGAGAAGTTGGGAATGCTCTTTTAAGGTCCTATATTTAAACAGTAAAAGGAAAAGAGAATTTATCAAAAAAATAAAGGAAAATTTATTAATAGGAGCACTTCTACATTTTCATTTACAAGGAAAAGAAAACAAATAAGGCTGCGTACATCTGTCCCTCCGTAGACCCTTCATTGGCAAGAGCCTCGTGCACTGGGCTGCCCTTCTTTTATTTTTGTCCATAATTAATAAAATATTGAACAGAAAAGTGGGTTTTCTACAAGATTTAGGACTTAATGGTCATAACTTTAGAAATAAGGCAAATTTGTGCAAAGAGTTTCTTCCACTATCATTAATTGGAACAGGAAATTGAAATCACACCTTTTTCGTAGTTTTCCTATAATAAAAACTTTACAAGTATACAGAAATGTATGCTTTAAGAGATCAGTCTGATGCACCAACCTGGATCTCAAGAACCGCTTCACCTGTGCGAGTTGCTTGTCCTCCAGCTTCAGGGATCAAATTTTTGGCTTTGTGGCACTGCAATAAATCCATTCGCCTTAAAATATTAGCATCAGAAGTAGGAAAGACAATAGAGCCTGGATGAAATAACGCCAAGTTTTCATGGACAACCCTAAAAGAACTAAGTCCAAATAAGGGCAAGATGCTGGGCCTGAAGTTGAACTGCATAAGGTCTCAACCTGTCTGCCCAGCCTGAGGGCCTGAAGCCCAACCTATTTACACATTATAGATTTACAATACAATATATAAATTCTATTTGACAAGAAGATCCTGAGAGGCTGAAACATGTGGAGTAAGACATGGTAGAACCATGAAACACAGGAGAGAGAAAAAGCAAGAAAGATGAGAAGGTTGCTACTCTCTATAGTGTCCGGGGGAATAAAACTGTGTCTAGTGGTTCTAGAGGCAGAGGAAGAGGCAGTAGGGAGAAAAGGTTATGTGAGTGTTGAGGTGGTGCATGTGCTGGCATGATGGGGTTGGTGGTTCAGTAAGATTATTATGTAATCAGAATTTGTAACCTACCACGCAAATAATAGAAGGAGAAGACCTTTTAAAGCAATCAATAGAAGATGATTGAGAGCAGACAAATTAGTTCCCAATAGCAATCAACCAGAGAAAACAATAGAAGAGGCCTAATTCCTTTAATGCTTAAAACTGAAATAACTCAATAATAATAAGATGAATGGTGCACATAAACAGTATTTATGAACTTTTATAGCCTCCTAAACCTATAAAATATCAAATATTAACTACCTAAACTATCCTTGATTGTTGGGCACTATTAAAAAAAAGCAGACTTTATTAATCAGGGTCCTCAAAATACCATTATATTGAAAAAAAAAAAAACAGAAGGATCAATAAGACCCTATTTTCCCATAACAAAAAAAGCTAACTACAACTTACAAACCACTGACCAAATTAACATGAAACCTCAAGCATGAATACACTGGACAACTCTAGCTGTAGGGCCCATTGATCAAATGTTTGACTTTCACTTCGACCAAATTTGACAGTCCCAGAAATCCAGCAAAATTAATTTCCCTTGATAAAAGCCTTTTTCTAGTCTGATAGCTTGATATTTGAAGGGTATCCTTTACACTTAAGAGCTTCAATGAATCCAAATTTCAAATTAATCCAATGGTTGGATTAGAAAAAATTATGTCTTAGGCTTCTGTGCAAAAGCTCAACTATTGACATGAACAGTCTCTTTTTATGGTTAACTGTAAATTTATAAAATGGATGATTGTTGAGATTTGATTAAAGATTGATGAAAACCATCTTCATCAGATTAAGTACACATGTATGCAGTTTAGAGAAGAGTTTGTTGCATTATTATGTTAGTTCCGTGTGGGGTTCTTTAGTTGGTTGTGAGGGTTCTTGGAGGTCTTGGTCAGAAATTTCCCCTCCCCCCATTTTCTTAACCCACCATAGACACCAACTTACTAGACCTGCTAGCTATCTATGGATCACTAAGACTCCCAGATCTTTGACGAGATCAGATCTGCTCCTCGCAGAGCATGCCTCACACCAACCTCACAGCACATCACAGCCATTCGTTGAGAACATCTCCTGTGCATGATGTTATCATTCATGAGAAGATGTTCCCAACGCATGGCTACGATGCACCGTGAGAATGGTGTGAGGAGCAGATCCAAACTCATCTGGGATAGCCAGAGACGTCTAACCCCTTCACTTGACTGAAGCAAACCCTTACCTACTTTTGGTTATACATTTACCCTATGGAGTTATTGAAATAGGGGACCAGGAATTCCTTGCTTTTGTTGGGTGATCACCCCTAGATCCTTTTCCAGGTGGGAGATCTTAAAGAAAAAGATCCCCACGGGAGCACCACCAATACACAGCAAATATGAAGCTAAAATTTAATGAAGGCAAAGAGTGCAACATTTTAACTATTACTTTCAAGAGTAGTTAAAGAGTGGATAATACAAGACAGTCAAATATTCTGCAACTAAATCTCAAAATGCATCAAGTACCTCATCAAAAACCAAAACACCATCATACTCTGACCCACACCATTGCAAAAGCTGTTGCAAGCGAGAACGACCTTTCTCAGATGATGCTATAAGGCTACTATATGTCAAAAATATAACTCCCTCTCTCACACCAACAGACTTTGAATCAAGCTTAGAGTAAGGCAGCTTATTCAAAGCATGAACTGTATAAAACAAAGAAACAAATAATTAGCTTCTTCAGTAAAGTCTAAGGCAAACCTGAACCAACGGATGGCACAGCATACATGTACAGAATATAAAACCTGATTCCACTAAAACTCAAGCTCTTATCAAGTTTTCTTTTTCTTTTACAGTGAAACAAATCATTTTTCTTTTGACTTAAGGTGAAGACATGAAATATGAGAAATGAGTCCATCATTTATGTGAAAGAAAACAAGGAATATGAATAAAACTTCAAATCCCAAAGCCAAAAAAGCACCTCAGACTCCACAACATTTAATGTCCACATTTCAAAGTTAGACAAGATCATTTCTTCAGATTACCAAAACTCAATTCTTTACCTTCAATGCATGTGGCACCCACATCATCCAAGTCTCTTCGTGCGTCAAACTTTAGATCTGAGCCAACAGAAACCCACCTGGAAAATCATTGAAAGGTGAGAACATTTAAACCACAAATTGAATTTGATGCCTGACAAAAACATCAAAATCATTGACAGGAGAAAATTAAACTTAAGCACAAATCAGAACCAAATCATCAAAAGTGAAGAACAAGGCAAGATAAATCTCTTTAACAGGAAGGGGAGTGGTAGACATGAACTTACAATGCTTTTCTCCTTCCATGGTGCCAATTTTCCCATATTAACCCAGCAATTGTGCGGCCTTTACCCACACCAGCACCATCTCCAATAAAAAATCCTGCCCTAGCACCATTCTGAAGGTGCTGAAGCTGTCTCTGTCATTGAAAAAAAATAGAAATGTATAACCATCAGTGAGGAGCAAAGTCAATCGGACATTAGTTAAAGGTCACAACCAACCTGACAAGCATAGACTATTGTCTCAATTTGTAAGCATGATAATGCCTTAGAACCCTCCAAATCATCCTTGATTTTTAGATTGTATGTGGGCTCAGGTGGTTGCACTGCTGATAAGGAAGATGTTTCCACAATAGGATCTGGATGGGGAGGACCCATGGATACTTTGGGAGGGCGCTGCACATATAATCCACAACAAGAAATCAGATCATCTGAAAGACCAAAAAGTTTTTGTAGGTTTCAACTGATAACTCAAGGCAGAGAATTAAAAGTATATTGAAAGAGAAGTTTATTTCACAGCTTCAGAAGTGAAAGTTCTATACCCAAAATCACTTACATAGTCGGTAAATGTTTCTCCAATTGTGCCACCTTCATCTTCCTCTCGCTCCACATCTATGGCTACCTGATAGGTTTCAGTTTTAGAACAGTAAAAGCATTCAAAGAAAAACAGGACATGCATTTCAGTTTACAAACTGTTGTAAAACATAATATACTGGCATTCATCAAAAAAAATTACATAATAATACTTGCCACATGGGCAGTTTTGCCCTTTTACTCAGTTTTACACTATAAAATAAGAGTGGGTTCCATCACTTTCCTTCTATTCTCCCAATTTTCTGACTTTTTCTCTCATCTCTTTTATTCCTTTAACCAATCTACTATAGAAAACATGGTATCAAGGCATAAACTGCCATAGACCAGTTGTTTCTTTCTTCATCTTGCAACTTAAACTCTTTCATTTTTATATTTTCAGATTGAACAAAGCAAGAAGACTTCCTACACTGACCAATCTCAAGAGAACTCTGATTTTTTTTATTTTATCTTGGACGCACGACCAACACCTGCTAATTCTTTAAGCTGATAATAGGACTATCAGCTGTGATGAATGAAGAGTTCAGATCGAGGCAGCTCTTAGTTTAATGCTTTTTTAAGTTATGTTCAAGTGTGTGGACAGTAACCGCCCTATTGAGGGCATATTTGACCGTGTATACTTTTTACTCTTCAAGTATAAAAGTTAAGGAGAGAGGCGCCCACGCCGGGCAGATCATTATTGGCTTTCTCTTCCCTCTTCTCCCAACTTCTTCTACTTCTTGTTCTCCATTGAAGAGACCTTCTTCTTCCTTTTCCTTTTATTTCTTAAACCACTTTTGTTTCTTTTAATTTTTAATTGATATCAGAGCAACCTTTAGAAATTCTTGGGATTAATCCAAGCAGCCCTAGATCAGCTGACTGCATGGAAGAATAGAGGGCTTATCGTTGGTTAAAGAAATGCCCCGTTTCTTGGATTTTTTTGGGGGGATTTCAGACTCTAAGTGAGTAATCTTGGATTGATCATCAAAATCAGGAAAAACTGGAGAGAGAATAAGAATTCTAGTTGCAAAAGGAATCTTTGTTTTTGACTTGGAGGGGGAGGCACTCGCGACTTTTTGGGTTTCTAGGAGAATTCTGTAAGGGGAGATTCAATAAGTGTTTTTTGTTTTCAAAAGGATTTTTGGGCTCTCCAAAGGGAACAGACCTGCATCAGTGCATCCTGGAGATTATTTCAGGTTTTATATCAGTGTTTTAAGTAGTTTGAGGAGCTAATGAAAAGTAGTGGAGTTGAACAAAATAACCGATGACCTTGGACTAGGTGTGGGAGGTGCCAGTGATCCTTTGGGGTCTAGTACTATCACTATTGTTAAATTAGATGGTACAAACTATCTAAAATGGACACAACCAGCCAAGATGGCAATTGGTGCACGTGGAAAACTAAGGTATATTACTGATGAAGAGAAGAACCTCAGACAAATTCTTCTCAGTGGGTGCAGGAGAACTATATGGTGATGGCTTGGCTTTTTTTTTATAAAAAAAATAAAAAAATTTACAAAAGAGGGTGACAAATCATCACCCGAATACATAGACCAACTATCAATTAAAGAACAATCTCCACATTACAAACCTGATAATCCAGGATCTCTCCTAACCTATTTCCAAAACCTCCTTTTCTAACTGACTGAATTCTGGAAGAATCAGCAACCATTCTAACACTGGTCTACCCACAGCTGCAACCATCTTGTCCATGCTGCAGGCTTTGTCTTCAAAAGTCCTTCTGCTCCTCTCCTTCCAAATGTTCCAGCAAATTGCAAACGGGATACCATACCCACTGCATCCAGCTCGGCCCACTCTCCTCTGTTTGACCCCTTCTACTTCCAACTATATAGCTTCTATTTGTACTGCTAATTTCAAGCTTTGAAAGAGTGCCATTATTTCTGCCTGAACCGAGTCCCCGTACCCAATTGGTCCTCAGAACAAAGCCAGAACTTCTCCACGATGATTTCTAAAGACTCTCCAAATACCTGCCCTCCCCGGGTTACCAAAAGAGCTACTATCAAAGTTCAACTTCAATTTATTTGGCTCTGTAGGTTTAAAATCCATCTTGATTATTTCTTTATGCATGTCCATTTGTGCATTCCTTCCATTTCCTTATTATTTCATTTGTTGAGACATCTTTGAAGATATCAACAGTTTTTATCCAGTGTGCAGATCTGATTTTTAGGGCTTCAATTACTTCTTCCTTAGGTCTACTCTTCTCATTGAAAATCCTCAGCTGCTCTTGTTGCCCTCCATTAGCATTTTGCCCTTTTTTGTTGCTGCAAGAAGTTGGAGCTGAATAAGCTGATCATATCTTGTGGGGGACAAAATGCAGCTTCGACCTTTCCTTTTGGTTTTTGAGATGAGGATCCTGCAACTACCCCCAATTCATAATAATATCTTCCACTATGAAATCTGAGAAAAGTTCCATAGTCTTCACCCAGTATACTACTATTGCAATGATGATTTCAATTAATGTCTCCCTACTTCTCTCCTCTTCAAAGATTCTTATATTCCTTTCTTCCCAAATTGTCCAAATCACCATTGCTCTTGTGCATCTTTCTTTTTTTTTATCAATAACTGAAATTCATAAGATAATTAAAAAATTGGAAGATACAGAAACAAGGGGGAGATTAGTAACTTCCCTAGAATTAAGTAATAAAGTAAATTACAATACAGCCCAGAAACCACTATTTCTTCCCACCCCTGGTTAAGCTAAAGTATCAGCCATGCAGTTGGCATCCCTCTTAACCCAATTCAACTTGACCTCCATTCCTTGTGTCAAGTGTCTAAACTTCCTTTTTCCATTTCTGTAGCCCCACCACCCCTCTCCTCCTCACTATGGAGCCAGCTAATAACCAGCTTTGAATCCCCTTTAATTAGCAACTTAGTGAGGCTTAATTCTTTGGCTCTCTTAACTCTTTCCATCACAGCTAGGATTTCCGCTCTCAATGAATCCCCAACACCAAGCTGAGAAAAAACCCATTAATTTGCCTTCCTCATCCCTAAAAACACCTCCAATACCTGAGGGTCCAGGATTACCCTCACTGCTGCCATCAAAATTCAATTGAGCCAGCTAATAACCAGCTTTGAATCCCCTTTAATTAGCAACTTAGTGAGGCTTAATTCTTTGGCTCTCTTAACTCTTTCCATCACAGCTAGGATTTCCGCTCTCAATGAATCCYCAACACCAAGCTGAGAAAAAACCCATTAATTTGCCTTCCTCATCCCTAAAAACACCTCCAATACCTGAGGGTCCAGGATTACCCTCACTGCTGCCATCAAAATTCAATTTAGTGAATCCATCAGTTGGGGGAGACCATGTTGGCACCACTAATTCTTTCATTGGCTCAGATTCAGCCACTTCTCTTCATTTCCTCATCAAATCAACAGCAGGAATTCCATCAAATAGCTTTAAAGTTTTCACCCAATGGAGCACCCTAACAGTAATGGCTTCAATTAGGGCATCCCTACTTCTTTCTTTGCCTTTAAACAGTCTCTGATTTCTATCTTCCCATACAGTCCAGCAAACTGCAGCCCTTGAACATCCCCTTAAGGTTTTTCCCCTCTTCTTCTGCCAACTAACAAAGATAGGGTCAAACAGTCTTTGCATATTAGGCGGGGGGTCCACCTCCACCCAAGCAAGGAAGAAAACCATTCCCAAATTGACAAGGGGACAGGAGATTAATAAATGATGAGAAAACTCCCCATTAGCCTCACATGTACTAATTTTATCCAAAATTACTTCCCAGCAAAAACCATCAATCTTATACAAAATAGGCTTACCCCAAACCTCTTTCACCGTAAAAGGTTGGCCCCCACCATCAATTCGTCTAGGAAGGATAGAAAAATAGAAGCACAAGTGAAGATGCATGAAGGGGAGAGAGTCCAAACTTGATAGTCATTCGAGAAGGATCTAAATAAACACCTTCAAGGTTTTGAAACAAAGTCAAGGCTCTGCCAACTTCACAGACATGGAGACCTCTTCTAAAGCCCAAATACCAAGCAAGCCCGGAGGTGGAATTGGAAGGAGATGCATAAGAAGCAATAGGCTCATCCCTCTAATTAGAGATCAAATACATGGAAGGAAATAATTAGAGATCACATACACCGTCGCCACCGGCAGCAACAGGCACCTGACCCACCGCCAGCAGCAGCAATGATTCAATGATTCTCATCCTACCTAGTTCGGCAACAGCAGCCTTATCTAGATTAGATTAGATCATCTTGCTTGTTCTTATCTTATTGTTCTTATCTTATTCTATTGCTCTTATCTTATCTTGTTRGTAGSTTATCRRATTAGGATTAGCTTATCTTATCCTTAGCAAGATAGAACTGGAAGTCTCCCTATTCAGCAAGGAGACTCCCTTTGATTAGGACCCTTGTAATCTCCTATTTAAGGAGACCCCATTATTGAATGAGAATATCAAATTTCCAGTCAAGAAAGAGAGTAAAAGGAGAGTTCGGTGATCTCTTGGACAAATCACCTCTAGGACGCCAAGATAGGTTCAGCTAAGAAAGCGAGGAACAAGGGAAAACAGGAGCTTTTCCCCGTGGACCGAGACGCGATCCTATTCCCGGGCCCATAACACTACCCAACCATACATGCTCCCAAAATTAAATAGAGTTGCCAGAGCAAGGGCTATACCTAATATGGTTAAGGAAAATTGGCAAGATAGCATGGATAGACTTCCAAGGAGAAGCCCTTGTAGCCCGAGCCAGCACACCAGCATCCCAACCATCAGCTGCAAGACCATGGATACTGACAATTAGCTCACCCAAAGCTTATCCTTTTCAATAGGCAACCTCCATAACCATTTAGCTAGGAAAGCCCTATTTCTTTCTTGTATATTCCCCAATCCAAGACCACCAAACCTCTTATCCTAACAACTTCCCAGCTCACTCTATGAACTTTCTTCTCTTCCCCTAGCTCCAACAAAAAATCCCTCATCAATTTCTCAAGCTTCTTGCTTACCGCTCTTGGAATTCTGCAAACAGACAAAAAATAGATCAACAAATTGGCAAGAGTGGACTTAAATAAGGGTGATCCTAATCCCTAGAGAAAATTTGTTTTTCTTCCAAGAAGCCAATCTCTTAGTGGATCTCTCAACAACTGGGTTCCAGAAATTACATCCCTTTGAATTATCCCCCAAGGGTAATCCCAACTGGGTTCCAGAAATGCTCCACCTTACACCCCAACAATTCTGCTCTTTTTGTCACTTGGCTTTCCTCCATGTTCACTCCTATAAGACAACTTTTATCCCAATTCACTTTCAAGTTCGACATTCTTTCAAACAGAAATACTAACCACTTTAGACTACTCTCCCATCATAGGATAAGATTGTATCATCAGCAAACTGTAAATGAGTCTTCTTAACTATATTTGATGCCAAAAAGTTCAACCCAAATGCACGACAGGAGATTTTCTTAAAATGGCCAAGTAAAACAATCCGGAGTATTTGTGGTTTGTTGTGGCATTGGAGAAAGAGAGAGAGAGAAAGAGATCTTTGAGAAGTATCAAAATAAAGGCTGGTTTCTGAAATGTGTTCTATGGTAGTATGGTAGTAGAGTATGACTTCCAGAGTTTAAAGAATTGAGCAGAGATAATTTGAGAGCAAGTTGTGGTCTACTCTATATCTAGATGTTGGGTCCTTAGAGCTTTAATGGGTTATTTTTGTTATTGTAATTTTTTTCTTCTCTCCATTTGATGAAATCTCATATTCATTTGTTTATACTATCAGCAACCAGTCTTATTCAATTCTGATAGTTCTCCTTGTACACCTGCTTCTTTTTCTCTCCAAATGCCCCAACATACAGCAGATGGAATGATACTCAAGATTGATTTAACTTTCTCATTCCTTTCAGTTCTTGACCATGTCAAGAAAAAATCTACTCTGGTGCAGCTGGGCTGAACTTTCCGGCATTAAATATAGTGAAGAAATTACTGGTCAAAAAAAATTTAGTGAAGAAATCCTATATGAAACCAGTGGAGCCACAATATATAAACATATGTCTTATGTTCTCATCCTGATTGCAGCACAAACATGCAAATAGATGGCATCTGAAAACCATTTGATTTCAGGTGAATGGCTCTTACTATGCTATCAAGATTCAAGAGTAATAAGGCAAGCAAAAACTTCACCTCAAAGCAGAGTTGGATTTTCCCAATTCCCCCAACAATACACCCTTCCTTCTATTTGACTTCTGGTAACTGTTTCCATTTGAACACAGCTCCATTATCTAGCATCCGGCACATTTGCATCAACCCCTCCAACATCGACAACAATGATATGCATTCCTCCACCTCTATCCCACAATGGATGTCTGAATTTCGGGCACCAAACCTCCTGTTCACCATAGCTTCAACAACAAATTCGTTTGAGAGAAGTCGTAGCATGCCTAGTCGTTTGACTACCCTTTTAAATAATTCGTTCATTTTTTATGCATTCCGTCCTCTCTATCACCTTGGAAAGAACTCTCCTAGGCTACTGACTGTAACGTCACTGCCTTCATCTACTTTTTAATCGCATAAATTGATAAACTACATATACAAAAAATCTAGTAGTCCCCGATCAACAAAACTGACACCCATATGAACTGATGAACCATACTTAATGAAACCCAGTGGTTGTCCCCAACTTTGGCCGGTATTTAATTCGAGAATTAGAATTCAACGGCTGTGCATTTTAGGTCAACTAATTAAAAAGTTCAGAAGGCTGATAAAATTGGATAGCCAGCAAGAACGAGGAATAATAGAGAAAGAAAAAGAGCAATTAATTACCTCATTGATTTCTTCCGGAGGCCCACGCATGGGAGGAGGGAAGAATTGCTTGAGCTTAGAGACGTCAACAGCAAGGTCTACCCCACACTGCGGGCAAGCGAACCTGGCAAGCCCGTGGGGGACGTTGAGGATGGCCTTGCAGTGTGCACAAGGAAGCTGGATCTTGGTGGGATCAATGCCGTGAGCCTGCGCCGGTGGATGGTGTTGGTGTGGGTGGTGAAGGGGCCGCATCAACTCCGGCGGCAGCATCTGAGGCAATTGACAGTTCGGACAAATGAATTCCGTCAAACCCGGAGCCACTGTTAGGATCATACGACATCCAGCGCAGCGAACCTGGCAGCCGGCCTGAAACGGGAGCGCCGGTGGGCCCGGTGACGGTGGCACCGATGGTTGCCCCATTCTTCCCAATTCCTCTAGTCACCGTCGTATTGCACTTCTTCTGGTATTCAGTTACTGAAAGAGAGAGAAGCGAAGAAGAGAGAAAGAGAGATTGAGTAAAAAGTTTGAGAAGAGAAGAGCAGGAAATTTGGTTAGAGCGCCAAAGGTTTTTTGGTTTTCGTTGGCGCACTTCGCACACACACCCTCGTTCTCTCGCGCTGTAGAGCCGTAGAAATTCCCTCTCTTTCTCTGGTCTTCTTGCGGTAAATGAGTGACCTTTAGGCTCCAATTGTTGAGGTGTGCTTTTGTGAATCTGATCGCCAATCAGAGAAAAGAAATGAGAATATACGTTGGGAAATTATTTACTGTGGTGGGGTCTCACTCAATCACGAAAGATTAGGAGCAGATCATCGTCCATCTTCCTCTGTTTTGGCTTGAATCTGAAAAGCCTCTCATAAACCATCTTCAGACTCAGGTGGTTCTGACTCTACATTCTCGGAGACAAGAGTAAGTTTGATAACAGGATATAACATCTCGGGGCCCAGCACTAAACGGGTCCCACAGCCACAGCCCTTGTGAGAAACACTGAAGTGACTGAACGAGAAAGAAAATGAAGAGACGAAGAGAATATTCTTAACGTGCATCTCGATACAGGGAGCTCACATGTGAAACGCTTTTCTGTGGTTAGATTTGGATCTAATTTACTTTACACTCAAATCCCATTGACCCATCACGTATTGGCATAGCATAGCTCATCTAAACTACTCTATTCAAAATCTCTAGTTGAGTCGGAAAAGGCTGATGTCAGGTTAAGGCTGCAACTTGGGCCGGGTTGGCCCTAACCTAACTCTGAAAAAGTTGGGTTGATGTTTGGGTTAGGGTTAGGGTTGAAATTTATGAACTTGACTTTACTTTGGATTGGGTTAGGGTTGATCCCTTAGCCAATCCGATCCAACCCGAATCGACTCTATAATACATGTCATATATAAATATATGTTGTATGTAATATATAACATACATTGACTTGTTGAGATACATGATATTTGTATAGCCCCCACCACATAGTATCATGTATTTCTTTTAAGATTATCACTTCACTTAATCCTAACCAGAAAGACAAAAACCTTAATAACATTATTTTATGTTTTTTGAAAATTTTATTCTTCATCTCCTCTATGTTGTTTGTTGCCCAATAAAGATCTATGGTAAGTCAAAACTCATAATAAACTATAGTCATTTTTAACATTTATTTTTCTGAAATTTGTTCTAAAAGAACAAAAAAAAAATAACGTCAATAAACAAATACTAATGAAACATAGGATTAATATATGTAGTGAAAGTTGAGTTAAGATCTAAAATCGATAAATTCTATGAAGTTTTAAAGGATGGAAAGAAGGTTTTGTTGGGCCCAACCCAACCCAAAATTGACTTCGGGTTAGGTTGGGTTGGGTTAGGGATGGGTTGGTCAAGTTGAAGGTCGGGTTGGGTTAGGATTAAGGTTAGGGTTTAGAACTTAAGGTTGGGCTAGGGTTGGCCTCAACCCGACCTAATCCGGCCCAGCTTGCAGCCCTATGTCAGGTTGCTCATGAAAAACCAAAAAAAACTGAACCGATCGGTTGGTTCGATTTCTCTTTGGTTTTTTCAAAAATTCGAATAAATCTAACCAATGACTAGCTGAACAGACCGACATGGAAAAATCTAGGGAGAATGACGGTTCAGTTCAGGGTCAGAATTTTTAGCCCAAAGTACAGTTGGGATAGGTGTCAGCTCGAAATTGATGCCAATTCATGGGCGGACATTGATGTATAAAGTGGGGGTATTTGACATTTTGAATGTTTATACGTCTGCAATGGAATTCAAAAATATGCATTAGGTTTGTCCGTACTTTTCTGAAATATCTATACCGGAAAAACTTTGACCAATCAAAAACCCCATTATTTATATAGTATATATTATTCATATATTAAATATATAACAAGTATATATTATATATTGCGATTATTTATTTATAATATGTTATAAATATAAAAAACTAAAAAACTGAACTGATCAACTATAAAACAAGTTAATTGGGTTTAATTTTTGTTTGGCCCTTTTCAAAAACCAAAGGAACTGGTTTGGTTTCAAATATGTGTCTATTTGTTCAGTTAACCGAACCACATCCCTAACCCTAAGTGGCATAGTTTTTGAAGGAGATAATGGGCTGGGTTAGTATTTACTAGGAGTGCAACTCACAGGTTGAGTTAGGCTCATGCTCAACCTAGGCTCAACCCTATGATTAGAGTATTTAGTTGCTAGCCTAGACCAAAAACGAAGTAAATCTTAAGATACCCAAGCTAGCTAAACTTAAGGTTGGTTGGTTGATTGATCCGATTGTTTTTGATGTATAATGAATGATGTATCATTTGATTTTAATTTTTTTTTTGTTTTCAGCAAATAAAAAACATAAATACATAATATGGTTTATCCTAATATAAATTGGAGATTTCACATGCCAACCCGTGAACAATCAAATATAATATCTATTAGGAAAAAAGTGCAATTTCATTTTGGAAAAAAAAATCCAATATATGTTAATTGGCCCATTAATCCATTTTTATGGAGGAAAAATGAATCGAGGCAAAATGGTAAAATAGACAATTGGTTCATCATCAACAAAGTGTTGAATGCTCAAAGAGTGTTGGAGCTAGTTCATAACTTGTGGGCTATGAACTTTAGGTTGTATTTGGTTGCGGTGCAATTTCATTTGCATTAGTACAAATGTATGGGAGTGCAAATGAAAAAAAAATGTAAATTTTGGTTTAATTTTGTTTTGGACTTTACTTTATTATACTTTGTGTCTTATTTTACTTCATTTTTGTTGCAACAAAACAAAGTAAGGTAAACTTTTAAATAAAAATAAATCAAAACTTGTACCTAAATAATTTGCACTATCATAATTTTGCATCAATGCAAATGAATTTGCATTCCAACCAAACACTTTAGGTATAGGGTGGAATGAATGCATGGTGAAACACTCTAGGTAGTCTTCAAGAGAGACTTAGACATGGACTAGGTTCTTGAGTTGAGAGAGAACAATGAACAATTAAGGACTACCCTCTCCTCCTTCAAACATGGGAACCTAACGTTATTCCCAAGAACTTGAGCTTAAGTTATTGAACATCTGAGTTAGAATACTTGATGTTCCAGTATAGATGATGACCAAAATATGGGCATAGATATTAAACCCGATAGAGAATAAAGTTGGCCCCCTATGTTATTGATGAAGACAATCCTTGTTGGGGAAAGTTCTTTCCCCCTCCAAGCAAAAGATTTTGGAACCCAGATGTGGTCTCTATGAACATTTCAATTAGCCCTAGATTAGTTCTAGGTGAGAAGAAGACAAAGAAGGAGAAAGAAATAAAGAGGAGAAGAAAGTATTCGGTCAAGGAGAAGAAAAGTCACTCCTTTCAACTGGCCCACTTTGTATTTATATTGTATAATCTGAATTACAAAAGACAGTATTGTCCCTTATTAGACATGTTCATGGACTAGGCTCGAGCTTGGCTTTTGCCAAAATTCTAATGGGCTTGGCCCGAAGCCCGAGCCCGAGACAATGTAAAGTTGGGCCCGAAGCCCAGCCCGTGAATAGGTCTTTCCCTCGTTAAGGATGGGGCACATAACTTAAACTTGAATAAAACAGACTATTCACTCTCTAAATTAAATAGACAAAGGACCGAAATGCCCTTGTACTATCGACTCTAACACTCCCACTCAAGTTAAAGAATATATGTCATATAGTTCCAGCTTGTCACATATGTAATCTACTTTGCCCCAAGACAGCCCCTTTGTAAATAGATTTGCCCATTGGTTTCCTGAACTTACATGAGGTGTAATTATCACTTCATCGATCACTTTTTTTCTTACAAAGTGGCACTTGACTTCAATATACTTTGTTCTCTCATCGAATACAGGATTAGAAGAAATGTGTACAACAACTTGATTATCATAGTATAACCTCATGAGTCTCTCGATTGAGAACCCCATTTCTTGTAACAACTTCTTCAGCCACACTAGTTCACATGTAGTATGGGCCATAGCCATGTACTCAGCTTCTATGTTGCTCCTTTCCACCACTGTTTGTTTCTTGTTCATCCAAGTTACCATATTGCCATGAAGGGAGGTACAATATCCTATAGTCGACCTTCTATTTGACACAAATCTAGCCCAATTAGCATCTGTATACCCTTCTATCTCAGGAGTTCCTCCACTTTTGTATAACAGACCACGACTTGGAGCACCATTCAGATATCTAACTATCCTTAGGACTACTTCCCAATGTAGAACCTAGGGATGTTGCATAAATTGACTCACCATACTTATAGCAAATGATATATCTGACTGTGTGATTGTCAGATAGTTCAATTTCCCCACCAACCTCTTGTATCTTCCAGGATCATCAAACTCTTCACCTGCATCAATACTCAACCTAGCATTCGGTTCTATAGGTGTTTCGACTAATTTGGCACATAACAACCATGTTTCATCAAGTAAGTCAAGGACATATTTCCTTTGACACATGTTAATTTCATTCCTTGACCTTGCAACTTCTATTCCCATGAAGTATTTTAGCTTACGAAGATCTTCGTGTGAAAGTGATCTTGTAGGAAGTTTTTCAATCTATTAATCCCATTGTTGTCACTACCAATTATGACAATATCATCCACATACACTACTAGAAAGACTTTCCCATCTTTTAAGTCACGGCTAAACACAAAATGATCTACTTTACACTATTTCATCCTAAAGTTTTTTTACTACTTTACTGAATCTACCAAGCCACGCACGTGAAGATTGTTTCAACCCATATATTGCCTTTTTAAGTCTACAAACTTTACCATCCTCCCCTTGAGCCACAAACCCTAGTGGTTGCTCCATATATATACTTCCTTAATCAATTCACCATGTAGGAAGACATTCTTGATGTCTAGATGCAAGGGATGCCAATCATACATTGCTACTAATGAAATTAATACCTGAACTGAGACAATTTTAACCATAGGAGAGAATGCATCTATATAGTCAACACCAAATAAATGAGAATATCCCTTGTCCAAGCCTTTAATTATTCCACACTACCGTCTGAAAGATGCTTCACTGTGTAGACCCACTTACACCTAACAACATGCTTATCAAGAAGGAGAATAGTAAGTTCCCACATGTGATTGTATTGTAAAACAAACAACTCATTTCCATTGCTTGTCACCACCCTAAAGAGGTAAGGGCTTCTTGGACAGTCTTGGGAGTGGAAACAAATGATAGCAAGGATATAAAATGGCTATGGGAAGAAGAAATGTGAGCAACTAAAACAAAAAGAGAAATAAGATGAGATGTACAACTACGTTTACCTTTCCGCAATGCAATATGAAAATTAAGGTTAGAAGGAAGAGGTGCAACCATAGGA